GAAATGGAGTGTCCATGTGGGGTTAGCAGGCAGAAGAGCACAGTGCCCCTGGGGTCCCACAGGGCAGGGCAGGGACCCCCCAGTTCCAGACCTCAAGCCAAGCAGCCATGGTGAGGATGGGGAATAAATATCCCAGGCGGGAGAGTTAAGGCCTGGTCCCTTCCTGCCTGGGAGGACATATCAGGGACTTTACAAATTGGGAAGAGTCTCAAGCTTGACCCGCCCCTGTTCTTGCATAGGGTGGTGCAAAGGGCAAGTACTGAAAATTTTAGAAATGGGTTGATGGAAACCTTTGAGCAAAAGGATTGGTGATGTTTAAAGAGCTGGGATGCTCCAGATTTACCATTCCAGAACACCAGGGGAGGCTGTGAAATTCATCTTCAATGGCAAGCAAATCCTGGACTAGCAAACGGGGATCGGTCACAGCTGGCCATAAGCTATCACCCTTGACCACCAGAAGCCACCTTGCTGTTCTTTTTTTTATCTACTTGTGAATAATAGACACACTCACTACTTCTTCCACCATCATAAAAAATATGCGAGTCCTATGTTTAGTATCTCCTCATTTGTACCCCACCCCAGTTCACTGAGTACAATTTTGCAAAGAGTCATCACCACCTTAATGTGCCACTCCTGAGGTGTGTGTGAGGTATCTTGTCACTCACCCCCAAACACCATACCTGTTGCCTGGAAAGAACTGTGTCTCTGCCTCTTACAGTTTTACCCTCCGTTTTGCCATCAAACCTCTGCTTGGCAAGTTCCCATTGACTCCTTCTCACAATAATTCTCCCATCTCCCCACATGACTCCTAAGTTTCAGGGTTGAGTCTCCTTTCCTCATATTTACCAAACCCAGGCAGGTTGGGTTGCTGGTATGATGCTATCTGGGACAGTCTTATCTAGCTACAAAGTGTGAATCAGAGATTACACCACACAGGGCTGGTGCCAGTCAGGCGGGCTGCCATATTGCCAAGTAACCCAGTGGTTGAACCAGGTTGGGTTGAGTAATATGCACCAATGGGAAATGAGTTTATTAATCATGTAGCATAGTATACTGTTGACGAAAGTGTAGCTCTGAAGTCCTGGTTTGACTGGAGAAGGTGCAGGTGGGGCTGGATGCTAGCTATGAAGACACCCAATGACACTATCTTTCTCTGCAAATAGTCACTTAAAAAGCACAAGAAATCTACATGGAAACATCTAGTTTAGCAAAGAGAAGAGTTCTATGCTCAGTCAATCTACCTTTCAGCCATCTTAGATTTCCTTTGTTAGAAAAGGATTCCTCCTTGTGGTTGTATATCAAGTTACAGTTTGGAATTTGTAAAGTTTCATGAGGTGAGAGAAGGGAATTCAAGATGGTAGTCAGTGACCTAGAATTGTGTGGGTGTGAAAATTTAAGATTCCATACTACATTCTCTTTATTGATCTCTCACTTCAAAAACATTCTTTTCTAAGGCCACAGTCCACCTCTCCACCCAGGTCTGGCCTAAACTTGGTAACTATAGCCAACCAGAAATACCACCCACATTCTTCACAATGATGGGTCCACACTGTGGTGGCAAGAATAGTTTCTGAGTGAGGAAGTTGTGCTACATTTCTGTTACTTTACCACAGGTCTGGTCAGCACCTTGGGGCTGAGATGCCAATCCCCAGGCCAGCATGTGGTGCAACATTTACATAGCTCAGTATCAAACTCCAAGCCCTGAAACTTTGCTGAGACAGAAATCTGCAAAATGCACAACAAAGAAACCCAAGCGTGTTTTGAGGTGGACAGGCAAAAAGGGAGAGCAAGGACCAAGTTGTCCGAAGATTGCTCTAGAACGAGATTGTCGAACAAGGCTGGAGAAATAGACACAAAATGAAAAAGGAGGGTGTCTATCTCCTCCAGAGAAATGGAGAGGGCACTGGGGCTGATGGCAAGCAAGCTAATAAGGGATGTTTCTGGAGAAGAAAGCACGTGGGATAGGGAAGCATCATTTTTATGGGAGAGAATTTGTAAGCTGTGAGGGGTTAACGCTACATACAACATTGCCTTTATGTTCTCCAAATCCCAAATATTCTTTCTTCTTTTCAAAGCATTGGCTCCCTGGATAGTTCATCAAGGTCAGTTTCCAGCCAGGACCATCTTCCCAGGCAGCTGCAGTAGGCCTGGAGAATCCTGTCCACAGAACTTTTAAATCTGGTTTTCCCCAATTACCTGACCACAAAAGAGCTTCCAATCTTTCTGCTTATCTTGCCAACCCTAAAGAACCCTTCTCAAGTCTCCACCTGTTTTTCAGGCTTCAAAAGCTTTAGCAAAAGCACCCTTAAGTATGGCTGTAGAGACTCCGCAGGTCCTGACCCAGGGCTCCCTGTCACCATCATCAAAAAAAAAAAAAAAAAAGCTTCATACTCCAGGAGAGCCCCTTCCTTTTATGCTAAAGTGTCTACTGGAAACCAGAGAGAAGGGTGGTAGAAATTCTCAGTCATTAGTCTGGACTCTCATGAGTTCATCTCTTCTCTCCCCTGAATCTCTCTGGCAGCCTGAGCTCTCCAGCAGAGGGGAGGGTATCCCAACCTCTTAGAACCATCGCAAACAACATCACTGGATGTGACACACCAGGACCCACACGTCAACTTCCAATAACACCAAATCCCACATCACGGCATGGAGTTTTCAGAGCAAGGAAAGGGCAAGACTAGGCACAAGAACCTATCACACCAACCATCAGCCAAAATCAAAACAAGACAAAAAACAGGCCAAACCAAAAACTTTATGCTATGAAAACAAGGAATAAAATAAGGAGATTTATAGGCCGGCTGATTGTCAGCAAACACAATATATTTACTGTATTAGCATTTGCTCACAGTGCAAATGGTACAACATTACACCATTTCAATATTTCGGTTTTTAAAAATGCTGTTTTCATTAACTATATTATATTGGCATAACAATATGACAAAGGAGCAAATGAAATGTTGGTGAAGAATTTCACCTTTTCACAATATCAAGCATATTTTTTTAACCTTAGTATAAGGTACTATAAATCCAAGAAATAAAAACATCCACAAAATATATTACATCTGGTTTGTCTTTTTCTAAGTACTCAACTTTATACAAAAGTCTTTCAAAAAATATCATTCCCTATAGGTTTTCCTGTTTAAAACCTGATTTTTTTTTCTCTCAGTTCACATAAGTTAGAGTGCATTTTCTTTTGTTGTTTTTTTTAAACATGCAGACATATAAAAAATCTGGATAGCACAACCTTTTGGCAACAAAGTTATTTTTCTCTTAGTTTAGCTTAAATGTCTGAGAACAGTTTTATTAAAACAAAGGAAAACTCAGAGTTATCATGCAGTGACATGCATAAACCAGAAGGAGCAAGGAAAAAATATTAAAGAATATCTGATTCCTCCTTCCAGCTTGGAAGTGACCAAAATTTTTGCTTTTAATAATCATCACATTATAAAAAGTATTCAGCAAAATACTGTCTCTGCAAAGAAAGATTTTACCCTTCAGCTGGAAAAAAAAAAAAAAGTATGGGCCCTCCTGGCAAATTTCATCTTCTTTCCTTCTACAAAGTCCAAGTACCTGGAAATCCACACTCTCCCTGCGCTTTGATTTTTTTTTTCCTTTCACTAACTCCTTTTAGTATTATTTATCCACCACCACCCCCCAAACAAAACAAAACAACCCCACAAAAAAACGGTGCTTTTTTTCTTTAAAAAAAAAAAAAAAGGTGGGAAACGCATAAAGTGACTTTAAAAACAGACATTCTGTAAACTCCAGACCTTTGTTCCTTCTCTCTGGGCAGCTAACTGACCACAGGAGAAATCACGCTAATAGGGAACAGTACATTCAGTCAAGACTGTGCTGGAAGCTGTGTCCAAGAGCAACCTTCCCTACTGCTCCACTTCAAGAGCCGGGTGTGGAGAAGGGCTGGGGGGAGGGGGTGCCTGAGAAGAGGTGAGGTAGGGCAGGGAGAAGGTGAGAGTGGGATATGGAAAAGGTATGCCTCATTCATCAACATGGATTAATGCAAAAATTCCCACATCTTTGAGGAAAATTCGGACAGAGATGTCTCTCTCCGTGTGTATGTCTGCATGTATATTTCTGTTACACACATACACACACAGAAATAATTTCACCAATTCATTTGCCGTAAAAACACTTAATTTAAAGCTGTATACACCCACAAATTCTTTATTCCAGTGCACTGCACTGGATAATCAAGTACCTTAGAGATTGTATTTCCTAGGAATACATAATGTGGGTATGATAGACAGATGTGTACGTGTGTGGACACATACACTGGCATATACATACACACAGCCTGTACATAGACTTGATTTCTACCTGCTGTTTTGGCCGTGAGAAAGGGCAAAATCCAGCGAGCTTCCTCACCAGTGGTGGGACAGAGAAATGAGTACATGAGAGAAAACAAGGATGGCAAGTGGGGTGGCTGTATGAAACCTGCCTTTCTGGTAAAATTTCTTGTAAAGAGATGGGGGAGAAGGGTTGGAGGGGAGTCGTGGGGAATGAGGGAGAGGGCAGGTGCAGGAAGGCAGATTTTTGAAAGTAGGGCCGAGGGAACACATTTCCTAAAAGGCAGGTAGATTTTGGGATGGTGCTCCTTCTCCCCGCAGATCAAACTGCCCTGAGGCCTAAGAGGGAAGTGCTCGGAAAGAAGGGGTTCTGAGGGGCTAAACCCCAAGCAGCGGTAGCAGCACCGCGGCGGCAGCATCGAGGCATTTCTGTAAGAAACATCCGAGCAGATGGAAGACCATCTCCTCCGGCCACGTACAGGCCGCCAGCCTGGGGCATTCCCCCAGCGCTTGGGCGCCCGATATGGGCAAGAGTTTGGAGTGGACACAGCCCAGTTCAGCTCAAGAGTCTTGCACACACACACATACACACGCGCGCGCGTACACACACACACACACTCACACGAGCACGCACTCTCGCGCGCATCCCCGCACGCAGGCGCGCGTGCGTGCGACGGGCGGCAAGCTTTGCGCTTTGGTGCGCTCCTTATCCCCTCCCCCTTTCGGGTCTTCGAAGGGGAACCGAGGAAGACGTGGGGTGGGGTGGGGGGGGACCATGAGGTGCTTGGGTCGGGCGAGGTTTGGGCGGGCCCGCCTTCAGTCCCCCCCTCCCCCCGCAGGTCCTTGGCGCGGCCCAGCGGCCCCTGGATCAAGGCGATCCGTACTGAACAAAGCGGGCTAGACGCCACCTTTCCGCCCCCACGCCTTGGCTGGGAGGTGGGTGGGGGGGCAAGCGAGGGGAAGGCTCCTCGTGCCCTGGCCCCCAACCGTTGGCCAGTGTGAAAAGGTGGAAACGGGGGACGTCGAAGGGAAACAAGGGACCTTACGTCCATGGAAAGGCCAGGGCGCGGCCCCTGCGCCTCCGTGGCTAGCGTTGCAGCTGCTTTAGACGAGCAGCTGGGAGACACTGGAGGGAAAAAGTGGGGACCTGGGGGCCGCAGCCTCAGGCGCAGGTGGTGACCACAGGGGCCAGAGACACCGGGGGCGCCGAGGACGCAGAGGGCGCACCCCCCTTCTCCGCCTTCTTTTCCTTTTGCTTGAGGTGGATCTTGGCGTGGCGCTTGCGCTCGTCGCTTCGCGCAAACTTGCGCCCGCAGAACTCGCAGGCAAAGGGCTTCTCGCCCGTGTGCGTGCGGATGTGAGTGGTAAGGTGGTCGCTGCGACTGAAGCTCCGCATGCAGATCCGGCATTGGAAGGGCTTGTGGCCCGTGTGGATGCGCAGGTGCCGGGTCAGCTCGTCCGAGCGACTGAAACGGCGGTCACAGCCCTCCGCTGGGCAAGCATGGGGCCGCTCGTGGAGCGGGGTCTTGCTGGGCCGGTTGGGGTACTTGCGGGGCCGGATGGGCTTGAGCGTGAGCGGCGGCTGAGGCAGGCTGCCGAAGCCTGGGTGGATCTGCTTGTCTTTGAAAGCCTTGATGGTCTCCAAGGGAGTAATGGGGGGCGGGTTGACCCGGATGGGGTCCATGCCCTGGAAGGGCTTGTGCTCGGGAATGGAGCCCATATCGTTGGGGTGGTGGTATAGGTTGTAGTCAGGAATCATGGGGAAAAGATTGCTGTCCAATGCCGGCTTGGCCGATTGGTAATCCTGGGGGGAATAGGCGAGCCCGGGGTTGCCCTGGGGGTCGTGGAAAGACACAGGCTCCGAGTAGAGATCACTGCAGTTAGAATAGGGGGGCAGCGCCGGATACATGGCCTCCACATCGCCCTGCGGCGGCTGCACCATGCTGGCCGTGGAGGTCTGCGTGCTGAGCGCCCCAGAGGCCGGGGGCACCCCCAAGATGCCGGCGCTCATGAGGCTAATAATGTTGTCCTGGCACCAGTTGGAAGGGGAGTCAAAGGCGAACTTTCCCAAGTAGGTCACGGTCTTATTGCCGGGGGCTGGCTGGAAGGAGCCGGAGTAAGAGAGTTCCGGATTGGGCTTGTCGTTGGTCAGACCGATGTCCATTACATTCTCTGCGGAGAGCAGGGGAGAGAGGGGAGGAGTGAGTGAAGCCGAGCTGGCTCGGGGCTCCGGGACTGGGGCGCCTAGGTCCTTGCCCAGGTGTGGAGGGTGCGGCCGGGTGGAGTGCGCCGCGCATGGGGTAAGAGGAAGGCTGCGCCGGGCGCAAAGCGGGCGGTGCCGCGCTCCCGAGCGCAACCTGGATACAGCAAAATACTACGGATCGGGGTGTGGAGTGGCTGCCGCACACACACCGCACAAGCCGCGCACACACTCACGTATCACACACACGCGCGCGCGCGAGAAGCATTGTTGTTCTTCCCGAGGTGGGGCGGGAGGTAGCTGTAGCTACAGGTAGTTTCAGACCCGCAGCGCGCGGGGCTCTCGCTCTCTAGCGCACACAAGTCGGCCTCTTCCCCTAGCCCTGTCCACTCCGGGACGCCGCACCTTTCCAGCAGCGACGAACTCCCCACCCCCCCAACACCCCCACCGCCAGCACTACGCTAGGGCAGCAGCCCCCCTCGGGTCCCGACGCTTTGTCCTCGGCGCACAGAGGGGTGCTGCCCGCAAAGGAATCTCCTCTGTAGCCTCCCCGGGCCCCAGCCTCCACCCGGCCAGAAGCAGCTTTAGGCTCTCCCAGGAGGGGGAAAGCCTAGCCCCAGCTCGAGAGGGTGCAGGGCGGCAGAAAATGGGCCCTTGCCTCGGGGCCAAGCTCCTAGAGCCGGGATCACCCCCCGAACCCCCCACGCGGGTGGACCCTCTCCCTCTCCCCGCCGTCCCCACACCCCCCACAGCTTTGCTGAACGCCCCGGAAAGGCAGCGTCGCAGTACCTCTCCCACCGCGGGGACTGCACGCCGCACATGGCTCCATCCCGGGTGGGAGGCTGAGGGAGTAGGGGGGAGAGCGCGGGTGAAAAGGGACGCAGGGCTCCTCCCGGGAAAGGGGGCGACAGTACCACGCCTTTCGCGCAGCCCGCGATCGCGCCCCTTAAGTGGAGAGCCCCAGAACCGCTCGCACGTACCTCCCTCCTGTCGGCGGCTTCCCCCACCCGAGCGAACCGAAGCCTGTACCGTGGCGTCGCCAACCGAGCCTTCCCGATCCGGGAGGGCGGGAGGAGTGGGTGGGAAAAGCAACTCGCCCCCCCAGAAAATTCCCAGGCGCCCCCACCTCTTCATCTTTCCATCCATCCATCCCTCCATCCATGCCTCCATCCATCCATCCATCCATCCATCCATCCATCCATCCATCCCTCCATCCCTCCATCCATCCCTCCATCCCTCCATCCGTCCTTCGCTAGCTCCAGTCCTCCACCTCTTCCTCTCTCCCTTCCTCGCCGCCTCACCGCCGCCCTTACCTGTAGCCATCTGATTGTAATGGGCTACCGAGTCGCTGCTGCCGGAGAAGAGGTTGAGCGCGCTGGGGATCTCCTCGGGGTACAGATTGTCAGGCAGTTGGTTTAGCAAACTGCTCATGGTCACCGGCAGCTTCTCGGCGAGTTTGCCGGTCATAGCACTCGCGAGCTGCCGCCGCCGCCACCGCCGCCGCCGCCGCCGCTCGCTCCTAACGCAGCTTCCAGGCAAGCGGCATCCGAGAGGCGATCCGTGGTGCAGGGGAAAAGCATGCGAGAGGGAAAGTTCGGGGGGAGGGGGGAAGGAAGAGGGGAAGGGATGGGCCAGGGGAGGGGATCTTCTCTTTTTTGGGGGG